GTGTACTTGTCTCATGTGTTTGGAGTAGAAGTTGTTGTTCCCTGTTCGCTGTTGAAGTCACTGTTTTGTGCCCTGTTAGGATCCAGGGATCAGCAGCTCTGGGCCTCCTGGCACCTACAAGCCCTACGATGATGGACTGAAGCGAGGCGTATTCATCCGGAACGCCACGGGACAGCCCCTGATCGGGAAGGTACATGCTGGGATTTAACAGAGCTTGAGGGAAAGTGCCTTTGTTCTCCTGGTTCTTCAGCAACCATGAGATAGAGCTGGGAGAGCTGCTGAGCATTGCAGCTCTGAGCGCTGGGGAAGAGCACCCGCGAGACAGTGCGGGGGGAAGGAGGGGATTTGGACCCGGGCGCGTGGGGTGCAGTGAGGATGGGGCTGCCATTGCTCTGCCCCCTCTTCTTTCCTTCCTGCTCCAGGTGTGGCCTGGCCCAACAGCCTTCCCAGACTTTACCAACCCAGAGACACGTGAGTGGTGGTATGACATGCTGAAGGAGTTCCATGACCAAGTGCCTTTTGATGGCATGTGGATTGTAAGTGGCTTTCCCCTCTCCTGTGACCCAGCGGGTGCCAGGCAGAGCTGCTGGGTGCACCTCCCTGTCTCATTCCCCACACATCTTCTGTGTCCCGGCCTAGAGACAAAAAATCTCTTCTCCTCCCAGGACATGAATGAGCCATCAAACTTCGTGGAGGGCTCGCAGCAGGGCTGCCCAAGCAACAACCTGGAGAACCCACCCTATGTACCAGGTGAGGAAAGCAGCTCCTGGCCCTTGTCAGGGGAGAGCAGCACCAGGAGCAGCAGGGAGATGAGGCAGGAACCCGTGGGCTGCGCCAGCCCTGGCCTCCGAGGAGGGCAGCAGTGGCACCGACCCTGTCCCAGTGGAGACTGGGCCTTGCAGGCCCAGTGCTGGCCGCTGTCCTGAGCTGGCTGTCACCATCTTCTCTTCCTTGCAGGTGTGTTTGGAGGACGCCTTCAAGCTGGAACCATTTGTGCCTCTAGCCAGCAGTATCTGTCATCTCACTACAACCTCCACAGTCTGTACGGGCTGACAGAGGCCATCGCTTCCCATGAGTAAGTCCAAGATTCTTGTTGCAGCCTCCTTCATGGCAAGTGCCCCCTCCTGCAGGAGCCTGGCTCTTCTGGTCCCAGGATCCTCAAGGAGCTGACACCCATCTGTTCATCTTGAGTCCCGGGGAGAGGAGGGGATGCTGGAAAGGTCTGATTGGGCCTCAGACATCTCCCTGCATCACCACATGGGCTGTTTGGGCACAAGGAAAAAGGCTTAAAGAGCAGGCAAAGGTTTCATTTTTATAACATGCTGGACTTTTCCTTTCTGCCAAGTCCCCAGCCTTGAGAGCTGGCCGTAAGTGTTCCTGTTGCCCTGGGGTACGTGCAGTCTGGATATTCAGTGCAGGGAGGATCGTGATGCCTTGGTCCTTCATGCTGCACGTCCTCAGACATTTGCTCCCTCTTGCCTGATGCTCCTTCAGGCCTGGAGAGCCACTCGTGTTGGGTAAGGGAGCAGCTGTGGGCCCTCCTGGCCAGCCAGGGCTGCTTGCAGCATCCACAGGTTGCTCTCTGCCTCGCTGGGGCTATGCTGACCCCAGGGATGGTTGGAAGGGCGTGAGAGGAGCTCAGCTTCCCGGGTGAATGGCCAGCAGCGGCGACTCCCCTTTCCATGGTGGGGGTTCATGCAGGTGGCTCTGCCAGGCTTTGTGCCCCCGCCGCGCGGTGGCTGTCAGCCTCGGGACGCGCCAGCTCTGCGCGTCGTGCCCTGGTGCCGCCCGGCGCGCGGGGCATCCGTGCAGCCCCGGCACTGACCCGCCTCGTCCCCGCAGCGCCCTGGTGCGGATCCGGGGCACGCGCCCCTTCGTGATCTCCCGGTCCACGTTTGCTGGTCACGGGCGCTATGCTGGTCACTGGACAGGGGATGTCTGGAGCGACTGGGAACAGCTGTACTACTCCATACCAGGTAGATGCTCCTGGGGCCGCATCGCTCTGCTGCCACCTCCCCAAGGGGCACTGCACATCTCGGAAGCCGGGAGACTTCCCACGGCTTCCTCACCTCCTCACAGCCTCTCTGGGAGACAACTCTGAGTCCAGCAGCCCTTGCAGCCTGCAGTACCACGGATGGGGGCTGTTCCCACCTGCTTCCCATGGGCCTGATGCCTGCAGGGGCTTCTGCTGGGGGAGATGCCCCTTCTGGTCTGTCTAACCTGTGCCAGCGCTGCCAGTCCCCACTAGGCCACTAGGGTTGGTGCTGTGGTACTACCTGCTCCAGCTTCCTGGGGAGGGACCATCCTGTGCTCTGAAGTGCTCTGGAGCGTGTTTCTGTGCATGGCCCCCATCCCACCTGCGTCCCCTCTGCAGAGGTGCTGCTCTTCAATCTCTTCGGGGTGCCCCTGGTCGGGGCGGACATCTGTGGCTTTGCGAGTGACACAACGGAGGAGCTGTGTGTGCGCTGGACCCAGCTGGGCGCCTTCTACCCCTTCATGAGGAATCACAACGATCACGGCAACCGGGTGAGCA